CTATCCATCTATCTATCTCTCTGTCTATCTATCTGTTTATCTGTGTATCCATTGCTTCAATTCTCTCTATGTGAATCAGAGATGACAGAGCGAAGCCACTGCTGGACCGAAAGGCCCATGCTCTCTCTCACTCTTTTCTATCTATCTATCTATCTATCTATCTATCTATCTATCTGTCTAGCTGTCTACCTGTCTATCTTTGGTGTAGTAGTACATGTCGTGTAGTGTTGTTGTGTACTTTTACTTGTAGGTGCAGTTGAAGCGAAGCAACCTCTGCACCGCCAAACGTGGTCCGAAACCCTACTGTTTTTAACATTTTAACTTCCGAATATGCTTCGCGCCACAACGGCGTGCACTTTTTGGAAACTCCACATCTCAGCCTCCAAAAGTGGTCCGAACCCCTGGTGTTTTGCACATTTCGACTTCGAAATGTGCTTCGCGCCACAACGGCGTGCAATTTTTCGAAACTCGACCTCTGAGCCTCCAAAAGTGCTCCGAACCCCTAGTGTTTTTAACATTTTGACTTCCAAATGTGCTTCGCGCCACAACGGCGTGCACTTTTTCGACATCGCAACTTCCAAAAGTGGTCCGACATTGGTGTGTTTTGTACATTTTGACTTCCAAATGTGCTTCGCGCCACAACGGCGTGCACTTTTTCGACATCGCAACTTCCAAAAGTGGTCCGACCATGGTGTGTTTTGTACGTTTTGACTTCCAAATGTGCTTCGCGCCACAACGGCGTGCACTTTTTCGACATCGCAACTTCCAAAAGTGGTCCGACATTGGTGTGTTTTGTACATTTTGACTTGGAAATGTGCTTCGCGCCACAACGGCGTGCACTTTTTCGACATCTCAACTTCCAAAAGTGGTCCGAGACCGCCAGTTTTTAACACTTTTGACTTCGAAATGTGCTTCGCGCCACAACGGCGTGCAATTTTTCATCGCTCCTGTGGCCAGCTGGCTCCGCACCCGCCGCTTTAGCGAGCCTACTTTTCGACCCTTCGGAGCCACAAATCATTGGAAAAACACAGTGTTTCGCGACTTTCCTACCTTTTCGCGCATCTGTATCTTCTTTCTTCTTACTCTTTCTCTTCTGATCTTCTCTCTTCTCTCTGCCTCTGCCCTGCTCTGCTTTTCATCTGTCCATATTGTCGGAAGTTTGACTTCTAAACTTCCTTCGAATACTTAAATGGTACCCTCCCAATTAAACAGCTTAGGGGTTTATTAATCCAGGATTGACATTATATTTTTTCCCCTTGATTTATCCAAAAACTAAACTACGATACTTCTATATACTTCTTAAATCACAGCATTTTTGAGATGATCCGACGATGAGTTTGCAAAGGTGGCCTTTCAATATTTCACCTGTCTCCATTGGGCCTTCGCGCAATTGGGCGTCGGCAATGTGGAGATCGAGGCTTGCGGCAAGGTGGAGTTGTTTTGGATCATATCGCACCAAAACTTGGCTTTGTCTGAGAAATGGGGGAATAATCATGAATAAACCATCAAAAAAGCGGTTATCCCATGAAACAATGGGACTTTGTATAAAAATGGGCTGCAAAAACCAGAAAAAGAAGAGGTCCCCTCAGCGGGTGAATATGTTCAGCTTCTGGCGGTGATTTTCTGGCTGAATGATGTTGGTCCATTGATCACTTGGGGGTGCACTTCCATGGATGTGGTGATAATTCACCATAGTTATAGGAGTTATAGGGGCACCATATCCCAACTCATAGTAGTTACCCTCTGGTAATTTGTTACAGTTCGCGAACTGGAAAATCACCATCTTTAATATGTAAATCATCTATTTCTATGGGCCATGTTCCAGTTCGCAAACTGTTAGTTTACCAGAGGGTAACATATGTTAAAATCCCCCCAGTTATAGCCAGTATTTTCATCGGCCGCTCCATGGGTGAGCTTTTGAAGCCATCCCCGGGAAACTCACATTTGCTTCGGTTAGACGGGGCGAGGCCCAATTCGGAATGACATCTTTTTGGAAATGGAAACCCTGGATTGGTATCCGAGCAAATGCCTGGTTTTGCTTGGATGGGCTTGCTATGTGTTGTTTGGGCTTATCATAAATAAGTGGCTGGTGGTTTGACATATTTCACATATTCATACATGATCATATATACTATGAATCATATATGATAATCTTCCACTATGTTCCTATTTTATTATTGTGTGAGATGATACCATCTCACAGATATTCTTTGGATGGGTTGAAACCACCAACAAAAATAGTCGTTTATTGGGAATAGACGAAAAGAGACCAACCCAATCTGTGACCAAAAGAGGCCTACAACGTCCCAGAGCGATGTTTCTGCGTGGGCGTCGCCCTACTGTCCTTGCTTTCAACCTCTGGTTTAGCACCTCGGTGGATTTGCTGATGATTTATATATAATTATATATACGGTAACGACATTTAAATATGTGGAGGGCGGGCCAGACCGCGAGGCCCCGGAGGTAGTATGAAATACCAGTTCGTATATTTAAATGTAGCTATCGTATGTGTAAATGAATTGGATTCCGTATGTTTATATAAATGGCCGGGCAGGCCAAGGAAAACCTTCCTGGAGGTAATCTGAAATACCAGTTCGTATATTTAAAAGTCCGTATATTTAAATGCAGTTATATATATATATTATATTTATCTTCCCAATGGGAAATCCACTACGACTGGGGAATCTATAGTTCCTTTTTGGCAAAAAGCGTTGACTGTCGCATCCTCGCCAAGTTCAGACATGAATTTTTTTTCGGTCCAATGAGTGGAGGAAATATCTGTAGGGGACCGTTCTTGAAGTTCATTGGATGGTTTCTTTTAAAAGGGCGCTTTGGAGTTCTCCATTTTTATGTATAGTTTACACATGTATTACATGTCACATGTATACACCATTCTCATACTACTGTTGCATCTCCAGTGCGTTTTTTTCGCATGCCCATCCTGGACACTTTTTTTAATCACCAGTGTGCCGGTTGCATGGCTGGATTATGTCTTGTGCAATTGTCATCAACAAGAAGCCTCACAAGTGTTTGCGGGATTCCATGTCAATTTAAGCCTTCACTATAGAACATGCTGATATATAGCCAGGACTGTTGGATGTAACAGAAATCAACGACCTAACTATGACCGATGGGTATATTAAAATTAGAAGCCATCACACATGGCCAAATCAGGTCTGGGGAGGTCTGCTTAAAACCTTGGGGTCCCTTGGAGTATCAAATATGTAGATAACCCCAGACAGAAACAAAGACGAGCAATTTAACAGGATTTATCATGATTTATCATGATTTATCATTTTTTAAATCATTTTTCCGTGAGATTCCAGTTTTTTTTTTGGGGGGGGGGGAATCCGTTTTTGGATGAATTTGCCTCAGGTGAGTACGATCACCTCCTTAATGACGACATTGGAGCAGAGGAGGACATGGGGAAAACTGGGTCAAGTGGATGGATAGTTTTGTACAACTTATATGGGTTTGTCTGAAAATAGTGTACCCCTAAACCCAATGGTTAATGATCATTATCCCTATTAAATGGCTATAATTGGGAATATACCCTATTTTCAGACAAACCCATATACCCTCTGATAAATTAACAGTTGGACCCTGAAAATAACCCATTTTTAGCATCTTCCAACCCCCATCTGCCAGGGTCTATGTCGGTAATCTTTTGTTATACATGCGCAGGAATTTCGTAAATGTTCTATTTTTTTTACATCACCCAACAAAAAAGGGAATATTTCATCTCCCAGCGGGACATTCAGCAACCCCTGATGGTGATAGGCACCAAAGTGATCTGAAGAGTACAACCAAGATTTCATTGCTAGTTTTGTTGTTGCCATTGTACCACCTGGTAATTTAACATTTAGTCCTCAAAATAATGCAGGCTTTTGACATTTATGACTCAGCTATGGGTAGCGGCAGAAGCACAGCTTCATCATTTCATCTATGTCCCAGTTTTGGCATCTGAAAATCCACTTCATTAATGTATGATGCCAGTACGAACACAGGCAGAAACCAGAGGTCCCCCGCTTTCAGACAAAACCTAGATCGCATGCTCATTTCATAATTCTTGCTGCAAAGTTGTTCCAACTTTGCATGATTTGCTGACTTTAAAAACTTTCACTTATTAATACCCTCTGGTTATTTGTTACATAGCCATGGAAGCCATGGTCCATAGAAATAGATGATTTTCCCAGCTAGAAACCTCCATTTGTGGTTGGGATTTTCCAGTTCGCAAACTGTTAGTCATAACCAGATGGTACTTATTCTCAATGGATTGGTTTAAGGGAAAATTTACAGGAAACCATAGATTTTCCCATTAAATATGGGGCTTTCCGGTTAAAATTTTCCCGTGAAATCCAATCCATTGATATTCATGACACCCAAGTTTCCTCCCATGTTTTTGTCTTCGGCCGTGGGAAGTCGGAATCCAGGAACGATGAGATGAATCAATTTATGCGTCTGCGGCGGTTCCTGCACTACAACGGCACTCTTGGCCGCAGCAGTTCACCATTTCTGCTGGAAGAATGGCGGAGGGCTTGGAACTACTTGGAGGATCATCCCACTTAGTATATATATATATAAAAGTCGTTAATAGCCCTGGTTAGGAAGTTTCCTAACTAGGTTTTTCCAATGTATAAGCGGCTTATAAGCCTTAATAAGCCGACAATTGCTAACCAGTTATGATTCCTGGGATGAACCACCAAGTAGAGATGGGTTGATCAGTTCTTTCAATTTTTTTGGGTGTCAGAGTTGCCATGATTTGATTTACCAGCGAACGCCATTTAGACCATCAACGTGGGATACACCCTGGCTGCCATAAAGAACTACCATGTGGGGATGGTTCACCACTGAAGAGTGGCAGCTTGGCAGAGCATATCCTGGAAAATACCCTTGTGGTTGGGGACATATCTGCCGTTGGTGATTTGCTCTTTGGCAGTTGCACATATACTATTTTTGCTACCTAAACATGTTCTGTTTGAAGACTATGTTTCTTGGGTAAACCGGTAAACCCAGCTTTACAACATTTTTTGCTGGTAAAAAAAACAACATTTTTAGGTCGAGTCGAGACCATTTTTTTTGCTGTTCAAAACATGTTTTTTGCCCGTACAGATTTTTCTTATTTGCTGGTTTGTCAACATGTTAAAGCCATTTGTCTATCCCCATTCATATTCCAATGGAATATTGCCTGTATACCCTCTGGTTATTTCACATAGCTATGGAAGCCATGGCCCATTTACAGATGAATTTCCCAGCTATCAACCTCCATGTTTAATGGATTTTCCAGTTCGCTATGTTAAATAACCAGATGGTACAGGATGGGCCCCCCAGTCGATAGCGTTCAGTTGCCTTGTAAGTGGCTGAATTCTATGGTTTCTGGTAGATATATCGAACTAGTTCATGGGGGTTACTTCATGGTTTACAAACCAACAAACATCACTGGGAGGCCCCATCCTGTATGACTTTGCTTATTTCCAGACAAATCCAACCATGTATTTTTCACTTTTGACTGTGCCATGACAACTACCAGCACCAATTTCATGGCAATTTCAAGGTGCCTTGCGGACAGAGCAATGGTACTACAACCAGATGGTAAATATCCAGATGGTACATATAAGATCATATAAGGCCATATTTTGTGGGCCATATTTTGTGGGGATATCCCCTTACATAGGCCTAGAAAATAGGCCTTACATATGATATGTACCTCCAATTTAGGTTCCTGAAATGGCCATTGATCTGGTAAACATACAAAAAACTATGGAAAATCACCATGTTTAATGGGTAAATCACCATGTTTAATGGCTATTCCCAGTATGAAGAGCACATCAGATATGACCTTCAGCGGCTCTCGAGGCATTCCAGGCGATCTGAAGGATCGAATTCAGCGCTTCCTGTGGCGCGTCAGCAGACGGCGGGATCGGATAGCCTCGGTGATAGGATCAGGTACCACTAACGGGTATATATTTGAAACTAATAATAGGGGATATTCCATTCATGGGAATATTATACCCACGACCTATATCATGGATATATAATGAGAATCAATGAGATATAATGGGGAGATTGAGAAGTTTTTCGGGGTTTCGCAGGAAATTATGGATGACTCAATATGTGATAAACTGATATATTCTATATATATATAATTTGCGAATATATGCGGTTCTTTCATACAATATATATATATATTACATAGCATACCAAGAACACATACACGTGAATTCGTGCCATGTGGGTCTTATCACTTGAATGCCATGGCTTCCGTGGCTTCAGTGGCTTCCAGGCAGTATGCCTATCATTCTCAAACTGCCACCTGGCGCAGGGATGGGCGAAACGGCCAGGGAAATCCCCAAAAAGGTGCAGGAATTGAATGGGGGAAATTTACGATGATGTGGAATTGAACATTTTTTCAAACCATCCCTTAAATTCATTTAAGGACCTAAACATCCTTGTTTCTACTCATAAAATGAGGAAAGTTGTTTTTTCAGCCAGGATGGTACCGTTTGTCCGGAATGAATTGGATCATGTCTTGATGAATGGCTTCATCGAGGGCTTTGTGAAAGTCATGTTTTTGGGGCCACGAAACCACATTTTCCAAAATTCATTTTGTTCCCCTTTTTTACGGAATCTCGCTTTCCTCAACATACTGGTAGAATATTGGCATGACATGCTTATGATGGGGATTTGATCCCCTGGATTTGAGGGGTCGACCTAGTTTCGTTCAGCTGGAGCCTCGTTGACTCCATTTTGGCCGTGGTTTCAAACCTTTGTTAATGACTGTCCCAACAGGTTTCATATAATAACTTTGTATAGGCAGTAAATAATACGTAGTATATGCATGTATTTGCATATATATATAATCATATATATATATATAATCATATATATATATATCACATATATAGATAGTACACATATAATCACATATATATATACATGCATATGTAGTATATAGATACAGATACTGCGTATATATATATATATAGACGTTGTTTATATGTATGTGAATATATATATATATATATATTTGCTTTCAATCATGTAGGGGTTTGATTCAATCTAGTTGTCCGAGAGCTCAACCACCAGCCAGATCTAGGTAAGTTATTAGCCGCCCCACTTGACCTTACCATAGTTGATGGTATATAAGGGAAATCATTCCCAAATGGCCTTAAATCTGGTTTCGGAAGTATTATAAGGTTCCCAGATCTATAGTAACCCAGCAATATCTATGCCATGTCTGACCCATTCTAGGGTATGTCCAGTTCCTTCGTAGTCCAGTACTACCCAATTTTGCACACGCGTTCGATTGCTTTCTTAAGATCCCATATATGTTTGTTCTTCAAGCCACCATTTTTGCTGAGAAGATCCTCACTGTTTTGGGTTGACAAACTCAGAGCAAGAGCATTTTTCCTAACTCAGCGTGATGAAATCTCCCGTTTTCGGCGGGTCATTCAGAATGGCATCAAAAAAAAACATCCGCAACTTCCCAGGAGTGTACCTCCGATTCGGACGTGCCGCTTTTAAAGTTGCTCTCAAAGGTCCATGTCTTGGGATGATGTTTCCTGGGTGGAATCCTTTGGAGATGCCAATTTCGGTCAAGGAAACATGCCAATTTCTTGCAGATACCCTCTGGTAAACATACAAAAAACTATGGAAAATGGCCATTTATAGTGGATTTTCCCATTGAAAATGGTGATGTTCCATAGTTTTTTGTATGTTTACCAGAGGGTAAGACATGATAAAACACGAGAAAAGTTGCCATTTCTTTCCTGGTTTCGGACCTAGAGGATCACCCCATCCATAAGCCATTCATATCTGATGCATCTTCCTATATTCCATTGACATTCCTATGATATATTCCTATATATTCCTATGATATATTCCCATGATATATTCCTATGATATATTCCTATGATATTTTCCCATCCATCTTCCCATCTTTCCATCTTGCCATTCATATCCACGAATGACCCTCCCTGCCTCGCCACCGTGCAGGGCTTACACGCCGAGCTGCAATTCTCCCGCTACGAAGCTGCGCTGAGCAAGTTAACCTTCTTGAAGCGCCTCGTCAAGGGTGCTCCACGCTTGGAGAATGTGCTGCGCAAGCGGGGTGAGAAAATAGAGAATATCTGGGATAAATGTGGGATATATGGGAAATATCAAAACGGGATATATGGGAAATATCTGGGAAGCATATGGGATACATGGATATATCTTGAAAAATAATGGATTATATAGGAAATATCAAAACGGGATATATGGGAAATATTTGAGAAGCATATGGGATACATGGATATATCTTGAAAAATATGGGATTATATAGGAAATATATGGACATATATGGAAATATCAAAACGGGGTATATGGGAAATATCTGGGAAACGTATGGGATATATCTTGTAAGAATATTGGATTATATGAGATATATGGGACATATCTTGGAAAAAAATCGGGATATAATATATATATATATACGTATGGGAAATATCTGAGAAACATATGGGATATATGTGATATATCATCATATAAGGGAAATACCTAAGAAAAATATCGGGTATATAGGAAATATGGGACTATCTCGGATACATCAGGAACAAATATGGCATAAATTTTAAAGGGACATATCTGGGAAATATCTTGGAAACATGCGGTGTATGGGAAATATCTGGGAAAAACAGTGGGATATGTGGGGAATATCTGGGAAATCTATGGGAAACCATTGGTTGAAACCATGGATGATTTTTTTCTTGGTTGAAACCATGGATGTTTTTTTTCTTGGCGCGACGTATCAATATCACGTAAAAAAAAAAACAGGGATGTACCTGGGAACATGATAGGATTATATGGGATGGAACAAACAGATACCCTCTGGTCCACTGGTAATTTAACATAGCTATTGAAAATGGTGATTTATAGTGAGTTTTCCCGTGAAAAATGGTGATTTTCCATAGCTATGTTAGTTTACCAGAGGGTATATGGGATGGAACAAACAGATATTTAATGTGTTGGCCATGTTTAACTTACATAAAGGGTGCAATCCCTTCCCCCCTGTCTCTAGATACTCCCCGAGCGAAGCAATGGTTTGGTATGGTTTAATACTGAATCTATTTGAATCCAATAATTTTCCTGGGTGCCCCCTACTTAGCAAAACTGGTTGATAAGTAGGTTTAGGACATGGTTCATGGTAGTTATCACATGTTATCACTACAATTAGACGTGTTGTATTTATAAACTAACCAACATATCTAGAGACACGCTACCTTGCATAGACATGAAGGACATATATAGATATATATACTCATTGCGTTAGCGGTATTCCTTGAATAAGAGGCTATTGACCTTTGGTATGGGTTGCGAAACGCCTAGACACGTTGGGCCGTGGGTCCGATTTCAAACGTGGACCGAGTTTTTGGTTTTTTAAGGAGAGTAGGATGTCTCCTGGTGAAAAAGGGGTATGCAATGATCACCACTTTGGAACAACTCAAAACAACAATTTTTTTGAACATATTGATTACTGAGACTCTAAACCTACAGAAGGGAGTGGAGTTTGGGCGATGCTTCCATTGAATGACGGAGCATATTTCACACTTTGTGACCGTCACACTCGCTATATAGACTGGTTGGTGGTCTGGAACATTTTTTATTTTCCATCATATATGGGATAATCCTTCCCATTGACTAATTGCTTTTCAGAGGGGTAGGTCAACCACCAACCAGTAGACGTATATAATGGAAACATGGTTTGCAAGTCCCGGATTCCTTCGGTCCCACAATGCGCTGCTCCAATTCTTGGAGACCCAGAGCACAATGTGGTGCCCCGAATCAAAGACGTTGGATATGGACCCATCCAACTGTATCTGTACGAATCACCATATATGGGTATGGATCAATACCTATTAATACCATTTTTAGGGGGATGAACATCCATAAATCCCAGCTATTTTGATGTTCACCAGGGGTGCAAGGTTTTGACCCACTGCCAACTTAGTTTAAACGTGTTTAAAAACCAACTTAGCTAACTGAAACACCTGCTATTTCCATGTCCTTCCCTAGGCAGGTTTGCCGGGGCTGAGGTCGTTGATGGCCAGCGACCGACAGACTTTCCAAGAGAATAAGGCAGCGATGTGCATCCCGGTGAAACACGTAGATTCACAGCCATGGGTATGTTACTCAACATATAAAAGTTATATGATTTTTTACTATCAAGTTCTGTAAAATCATATTTATATTTAACATTATTTAACTACATAACACAAAAATACATGTATATCAGGTGTTATCAAGTTATGTAGGGGATATTCTCAGATTCATGATCCCAACGCTGTGAGGTTACCCACACAGATATCGCAGTTGGAATCTACCAGATCTTACACGTTTGTGCTTCCTGGGATCCACTTCCGGGCATAAAGGGATGAATTACGTTGGAAACCCTGAATTTCATTCAAAAGACAATCGTTTCCTATATATATACCGGTATATATCTGTAGATTCTCCCACACAAACTAACCCAATATGCTGGAACTGACGGATCATTTTTGGTAGAATGCATTTAGTTTTCGGGACAACATCAGTTATTTGTTTTTGGCATCTCAACTCGCGAAAAGTTGCAGGTGTTGCAAAGCCTGGCTGTGAAAGCGCTTTACACAGCACCTGGGCATTAGCCTTGGCCCATATGCTCCATGTATATATTTGTCAGATGTTCTTTTTTGCCCCCATGACCCAAATCGTAGGGTAGATATACCATGCCATAGACCATGCCATGTGGGTTATGAAGATCAAAGATTTCGACCCAAACGAGACGATGATGACTGGTGAATCCTGGCCAGAAAGGGAAAAAAGGGAATCACCGTCCAAAAAATGGCACATTTCTAGGCAAAGGGAGGTGTGATTTCTGTTTGATATAATATGTTTAATATGTCTGATTTCTGTTTATATGTCATAGTCAAGAGCTCGATTATGACTATTAATGATATTGGATCATAATGGGGGATGGTCATAGCTCCATCAAAAAAAGGGGATTGTCATCAGCAGACGGATATTGTCACATAGTGGGATGACCGGGGACCCCATGATGGACAGTAATGGGCTGGGTGATACAGTGATACATCTCCATTTTCCAGCGAGGTTTTATGTACGTATATCTATATATACACATAATTTTCAATGTTACAGTATATATATATGTATAATTATTCAATGCTATATTTATATACATATTATATTTAAGTATGTATAATATACATATATATATATTTAAATATGTATTATCTCTCTCTCTCTATATATATATATATACGTTGTGACCATCCATCCCAGGTCGAATTGGCTCAGAATGATGTGGTCTTCTGCGCGGGCGGCGTCGCCGAATCCGCCTACCTGGTGCTCAGCTTCTCAGCGGTGCAGGGATGGCCATGGCGATTGAGTCATTGGTTGAAGGGAAAATCACGGAAAATCTACCGCAAACCTTGGTTTCCCCCATATGTATATATGTATATCTATGTATATCTATGTATATCTATGTATATCTATCTATGTATATCTATGTATATCTATGTATATCTATGTATATCTATCTATGTATATCTATGTATATCTATGTATATCTATGTATATCTATGTATATCTATGTATATATATATATATGTAATATATATATATATGCAATATATATCTATGCATAAATAAATACATATATATATATGCATATGTATATATGTATATATGTAAATATGTATATATGTATATATGTATATATATGTATATATGTATATATGTATATATATGTATATATATAATATATGTGTATATATATGTATATATGTATATATGTATATATGTATATATGTATATATGTATATATGTATATATGTTTATATGTGTATATGTGTATATGTGTATATATGTATATGTGTATATGTGTATATATGTATATATGTATATATGTATATATGTATATATGTGTATATATGTATATATGTGTATATATGTATATATGTATATATGTGTGAATGTATATATGTATATATGTATATATGTATATATGTATATATGTGTGAATGTATATATGTATATGCATGTAAATATGTATATATATATATACATATCTAGTGTTTATATGCACAAACAAACAAAAATACACATGCATAGTGAAATAACTAAATAAAATCTCTCTCTCTCTCTTTCTCTGTCGCTGTATACGTATATATATATATACACATTAATATATATAGCATCATGTACATATATTGTTTGGTGGTCGTTTGAGGCAATTTTCTTCATTTTCATCGATATGGGATGCATTGCCCACATCCCAGGCGGCAGTTTTTCATACGTGCGGCAGAACAAAGACCGGCGTGTAGGTGGCTTGGAATGGACCTGATGGGCGACGCTGGTGCTTGGAGGTAGATGGATTTGGTCGAGAAAAACTATGTTTTTTAGTTCATTAAAAATGGTGCTTTAGCACAAACAAAAGGGATTCATAGTTGACGTTAGTTAAGTTAGTTTAGTGCACTTGAAGGAACAGAGGAGTACCATCAAAATGGTTAATTAAGATGATATACAATCATCAATCTATCATCCATATTCCCCATGAAGTGGGAACCAAGGAGCAAACAATTGCTTGGCGGAAAACATAATGACCACTTGGGGATCATTATCCCATGGTTGAACAATATTGCAACATGTCCAAAATAAGGAACAACTATCGGAAAGCATCGATCAGAGAACATGACTTGTATATAAATACCAATACTTAAGACCAAGATTAACCATGATTACCTACATAGTAATATATTGTTATTGAACCATGGTTTACCTAGTCTTAGTTGAACCATGGCATTTCCTTGAGATCAAGGCTAGGGGGTCTCAATGAACCACCAATCCAGGGGACTTACCAACAGTAATCATGGGACCAGATATTCTCAGATATTCTCAGATCCTTTCAGTCAGAAAACCTATATGGCTAATCCTTGAAAAATACATACATATTTACATATACATCATGAAAACCACCGGTTGGTGGTTTCAAACATTTTATTTTCCATTTCATATATGGGATGTCATCCTTCCCATTGACTTTCATATTTTTCAAGATGGTTAAAACCACCAACCAGACCATTAACCATGATTAACCATGATTAACCATGATTAACCATGATTAACCATGATTAACCATGATTAACCATGATTAACCATGATTAACCATGATTAACCATTATTAACCACTATTAACCATTATTAACCATTATTAACCATTATTAACCATTATTAACCATTATTAACCATTATTAACAAACCAGTATTAACCATTATTAACCATGGAAATCCCTATGGAAATCCCCATATACTGTACATCTTTGATTTTTTGATTGTCAGATCTTTTCGCATGTTCCGACAGGTCTGGAGCACTGGATCGGAGACCAATGCCTGTGGAGACTTGGACGGTTGAATGCCATGTTAAGTGTGATGTATTGAAATGGAGCATTTAATGGGATTTAATGGCATTTAATGGCATTTAATTGCATTTAATGGCATTTAATGGGATATATGATGGTATACCCTCTGGTAAACTAACAGTTTGCTATGGAAAATGGCCATTTATAATTGATATACCCATTAAAAATGGTGATTTTCCATAGTTATGTATATCTGGTTGGTGCTTTGGAACCATGGAATTTTATGACTTTCCATTCAGTTGGGAATGTCATCATCCCAACTGACGAACTCATATTTCTCAGAGGGGTGGCTCAACCACCAACCAGATATGATTTCATTATGCATCCTCCAGTCATCCAGACGTTGTTCGGATTCTGGTAGCCGAAATAAAATCCCACGGAAAATGTATTGTTTAGCAATGTTGGCATATGGCATAGTTAGAATTTTACGCTTCTTGCTATGCATATGCCATATCCCATATGCCATAATGGGATTCTGTTGATCTGGAAAAATACAGAATCCCAATATGGCATGTGGCATAGCTCGAAGCGTTCAATGACATCATGGCAGAGTGAAACCGTCCAATCTGGGACAAGCGACTGGTTGGGTAGTGCAAAATAGCACATAGTACAACTTAATGTGTTGACATGTTTCAATGAGCATTTCATAGAATATGTATATATATATATGTATATACATATATACATATACATATAATATATGTATATATATACATATACACACATATATATATATATGTATATATATATATACATATATTATATGTATATATATATATGTATACATATGCATATATCTATCTATCTATATATATATATACAGATGTTTGATTTCATGTTAGTTACTCAGGGTTTAGTCCTCGTATTTGGGCGCGCAGTGATCCAAGCAGATCGTTTCAAACATTCCCTTGGATGTCCCATTCCTGGGGCCTCCGATCACAAGCTATTTGCGACTCGGCTCGGCTAAGCATGGTCAAACCACATTGTTGTGAAGCAACATGTTTCCCCCGTAAACTCACAATGCTGCATAATGCTATATAATGCTATATAATGCTATATAATGCTATATAGTTAATGCTAGATAATGCTAGATGGATGGATAGATAGACAGACAGACAGACAGATAGATAGATATCATTAGTAAGATCATCATGCTATCCCCAAGCAAAGGCCAACACTTTTTCTACATTATATAGAATCCTTTTTTTTTTGTGAAATCACCTGTTTTCTCAGTCCGGATCAGCTTTTCTCCAAGCCAACATGGGGAACAGTTTACCACCAAACGTAGGGAGATGCGGACCACATCTTCATGATTTAACCAGTGAAAAACACATATTTCATAGACATAAACACATAAACACATAAACGTATATATATATACATACATATGTTCAGGTAATTATCATCATTCACATTTTTGGTTGGGGAAATCGCTATATTTTTTTTTTTGGAGGGGTCCGGATGAGCAAATCCCAGCGACAGAATCCAAGGACTCCCTGGCTTTATGTGGGTGAATTGCTAGCTCGCGAGATCGGGCGTTTGGTGGCCATGGAGGTACGCTACGGGGTTACCAAAAAGTGTGGATTTCACATGATTTCACCGAAAACATGTGGATTTCACCACTAAAGATGGAACTTTGAAATGATATATCTACTAGAATTGGTGATTCATGGGTGATTTATGTTAGCTAAATTGACTGAAATCAGTCCAATAGCATCAATAGCTGTTGGGGTTATTCTAGAAATACCTATACTTAGATCCGTTTTAATCAACTTACAACTGGGGGGCACCATCTGCAGCAAACCAAAATTGGGCTGGGTCCACCCAAGACTTGGATAAGGTCGGGGCACAATACAATGTAATATCTCCAGATTGAGGTATAATTTACCCATGTGGTAATTTAGTAATCTCTTCCATTCATATAAAACACTTCCAAATGAAACCCCATGGGTGGGATGTAGGGGATGAAATCACATATTTGGAACCATTTGGTGGTGTTTAATACTCGTACTAGGGGGATGGGTATATTTTGTGTGTCACGAACAGGGAGAGCAGAACGAACAGGGCTGAACCAACACTATCCAACAAGTATGGATGTCATGATGTCATCCTGTTTGAGTCCTTCATATCTTGTCATTTTCAGATTTTGGCAGACAAACCTAATTCTTCGTTTTTTACAATGGCGCTGCCATTGTATATCTATATAGTGTGTACCATCTTGTTGTGAGTACCTCCAGTTTTCGGATACAACAAGCGGTCACCAATTTTTGTGTTGACAAGTCGTCGTCAATGTTTGTGGGCCATTGTTGTTTGCATGCTCTCGTGTTTTGGTTTTTGTCCTGCGGATAGTACAGTACTGTCCTTGAACCAGTTTTGGACATGGAATTCATAAATTGTCAGTAGAAAACCCATCTTCAAGGGATTTAGTTTCCGCGTCCGTCATTGCTTGTAGGGTTGTTGTTTGATCTATTTGTATTTGTTAGACATAATGAGACATATTCTATATCTCCCAAATTAGTTCCTCTCTCCGCTTCCCAAGTTTGTAGAATGGGTGGCCCAAGATAAGTTGGTTTAAAACTAAGCTTACAAGTTGTCTATGCTACCAGGTGAGGCCCCAAGTTGTGTTTGTTGGTTCCTTATATCCTCCACAACAACATTAGCCAGCTCCTAGTGCCATCCAACTCTCCAATTGTGGTAACATGTGGCAAACGTTTGTAACCTGATGGGATTCGAACTTTATAGTTTACCAATTTTACACATTTTTTTAGATGATCATTGGTTTACGAACATATTCCCAATTTTCCAGATGTTCTATAGGAACTATAGGAACTATAGGAACTCATGTTGATAAAGCAATGATAAAGCAATGATAAGCCCCATATTTTGATGGTTTCAATCCCAGCCATGGTAGATTGTCATTGGTCGTCATAGGTCGTCGTTGGAGATGTTGGATCAATAAAAATCCCATGTTCCCAACAATAGTAAAGTGAATGGATTACATATTGTAAATGTTCCCAATCACTATGGTACTATCGATTTTCCCAATGATCAACATAAAGCAACATCATTTCCCAACATCAAATGTTGGGAGCATAATTAACTGTTGATTAAATCCCCATTAAATCCCCATGAATAACCATTAAATCCATAAAAAAAATCCCATAGATTAACTGTTGACTAAATCCCCATGAATAACCATTAAATCCATAAAAAAAATCCCATAGTAGAGCATGGTCAGCATGGTCCCAATGTTGAAGTATGATGTTCCCAGCTGTTCCCATTGAAAGTTTGAAAGTATGGTCCCAATGGGGAGAGGCGGAAGCCTTTTGCCAATGCGTTGGTGCTGTATGGGAGATGAGACAACAAGTAGCCTGGCAGCGCTGCAAAAAAAACATGACTGGATTCCAACTGGCGAAGCCTAGTCGTTCCATACATATCTGAAAAATGTTTATGTTTAATGTTTAGCTATAAATGGTGTATCAACTTGGTAGTTTATATCATGTTTATGTTTAATGATCTGTTTTGCCATAGATGGGGTACCAAGCAACATTTGATATACGAAAATCCGAGGCTTTTCAAAACCCATTTTGGGATGATGATGCCAGAAGGATTTTGCCATGAAATCCCGGTGATCTGCATGGATTTCCTGGTTTCGCGGCGAAAGTCCGTTCAAAAGTGGACCATCATTGGTTGGGTGAAACCCTTATGGGAATGATGGTTAGGATATGTTAGGATTATGGGAATCATCCCAACAGGGGCCGAAAAAATTCAGGTGGTAATTATTGTATACCCAGATGTCTGGTAGTGAAACGATGTTTTTTTTTTGGGGAGATTCGGAGGTTGTGGAGGCACAGTTTCTGGAGATTTTGGGGGTTCCCATTTTAGGAAACCTCTTTATCCAATGAGATTGAGATTTGATTAAGTGTTTGTTGCGTGCAGCCTGAGTGAGTGGCTGCCTCACAATTCGTCCGGAAACCCTAGGGCACTGTTGGGGCGTCTACTTTCAGATTTCATCACGAATTTGGTCGAACAGATCCGACTAGCCTCCACACTTAGCAAAAAAAACATGTTGAGTTGCAGGAACCATACCTTCTGCCCAGAAACCGTAGGAAGCGTATGGGGGTCCGCGTTGGGGTCCCATCATTTTCATCCTTGACCCTTACTGAGGCCATGTATTTTTCTCAGACTGTGGTGGAAGTCTCTTGGCTCAGACTCGGCGCACGACCTCTGCAATGGTCCACGGGTTTGTCTTTCGGCTGATGCGGCTGATACCACTGGTCTATGTTTGTCAAAATTGAGAGGTCACAGAAATGTCGGACTGTTTTAAAATCGTAAAAAAAATGCAGATACCCTCCAGTAAACTAACGTAACTATGGAAAATCACCATTTTCAATGGGTAAATCCACTATAAATGGGCCATTTTCCATGGCTACATATGTTAGTCATAACCAGGCCTGGTAGATGTTACCATGGTACAACTGACGCCTGCTGTCCAGGACTTGAACTCCATGTCCATCGAGGAGAGGGGAGCCGTAGAAATCGGAAGCCCATGGTGACGACTGGGGTACCCCCCATGACTTAGGAAGGCTCCATGTCCATATAGAACTCATTTTTTACGGTAGATATCGAACTAGTGGTGAAAAGCTTACCTTAGGGGTAGGGGTGACAACTTATGGGTAATTATCCATTGAAATTGCAGTTCTGGGGTATATCACATTTTCTGACACACCACATGGTTTTTCCCCCAACCTCAAATGCAATGAAACGTGTCGGCTTCAGCGTTTTACACACTAAAATTGTAGCTTACCAAGTTGGGAAACATGCTTTTCAATGGTGGTTTCACCCAACTGGCATGGCTTTGAATGAACAAAATTGTATATTTACCAAACACGAAGGGGGATGCAAGTAGTAAACTGCTGGTTTTATCATGTTTTTACCTAAGCCAAAGGGTTTCAACTGGAAACAGTCGTGATGATCGACCAGGACCTGACAGACGTGAAGGAGAACGCTGAGGATTTGGAGCAATTGATGCCCCAAAAGTGCCGTGGTCATCATTGCCATGGTGATCTGCTAAATCCTCAAAATATGGAGGTTTATTAGCTGGCCCATCTGCGAAGCACGGTGCTGGTATACCATGGTATACCTACATAACTGGGTGATGCAAATGTTGGGCAAATGTTGGTAAATATTGGTGTGCATATTCCATCTATGGAGGTTTAGCTGGGAAAATCCATGGAAAATCAGCAGCAACTCCCAGGTCGCGGCGTGCCCCTTGGCGAAGACGAGGGTGATCCCGTGGCCAGTGGCGACAAAACGCTGGGTTTTCACATGGTTTAACTGACATCAATTGGTGGTTTTATCATGGTTTAACCATGGTTTTAGCATCCAGCAATTTGGATCATTTCGCCAATGTATTTATAAGATTTTTTGATATCCATACCATAGCCCCATTTTTTTTTGGATACCGAAATTGTATTGAGGATCAGGGAGAAGGGCTTACTGAGAACATTGAAGAAAACACATAGCCCCAAAAAGGCGATTTTACATTCTGAACATATTGTAACCCATGATTCATCGGGAAATCCTTGTATATCTTAGGGAAAACGCATCATGGTGTTTTTGTTCCTAAAAGAACGTGAGAATGATTATATATTGACGAACACATGCAAAAACGCCGCATTGATGGGCTACTGTAGTGAACTTGCATAGCTGGCAACAATCCCTATGGATCCATGGCCACTGTCTGAGAAGGTACTTATATAACCTCCTAGTCACCATATCCCAGTCCCACTTCCTTTCAGAAGGTACGGCTGGATCCATAGGGAATGGTAGCATAGATACCATCTGGTTATTTAACATAGCCATGGAAAATCCCTTATAAATGGAGGTTTTAATGGGAAAATCAACCATTTTCCATGGCTATGTTACATAACCAGAGGGTATATCCCATTAAATCCCATTAAATCCCATTAAAACACCATTTTCCTATGGTTTTCCTATGGTAGATAGTTTTGTTGTTTCCCCAAACGGGTGGACTGTGTGTAGAACCTGCAGCCAGGGAGGGAGTTTTTTATCCCAAAGAGATGATCCCAAGAATGTTGAAGGCTGTTGCGGAAGGCTGTTGCGGTAGGAAATTTAGGAACATGGCCATAGAAATAGTTGATATACCCATTAGAAATGGTGACTTTCCATAGTTATGTATGAATCTGGTTGGTGGTTTGGAACCGTGGAATTTTATGACTTTCCATTCAGTTGGGAATGTCATCATCCCAACTGACTCATATTTTTCAGGTGGGTAGGTCAACCACCAACCAGATATGACCTCATCAAGAATCAGAATGTGTAAATATTATATAATATATAATATATTAATCATATAAGCCAGCAATCATTTCATGACAACGGGAAGTAATGGTTCGTGAACTGGTGCCACTGGTGGCACTGGATCTAGCTGGATCTAGCTGGTTGAATGAGGGTGAGCTGTGGCAAAAATGAGTCCAAAATGGGCCAACTATATACCCAATTGCCAAATGCCAATCATTTTGGGGTTGCGTTTCCGTGATGATTTGAACAAACATGTTTCACCACTGGAGGAATTTTCGGATGAATCTTCTCCGAAACCCAATCCGATTTTCCCATGAAGATCATGGGGCTGTCCGGTGTCAATTTTCCCTTAAACCAATCCATTGACAATAGGATTTTATGGTGATTGAGCCGGCAACGAATGCTGATGGGATCCGACAGAATTATGGGACAAAAATCTAACTTCTACTGGTGATTTAGAGGTGATTTGATGGGATTTAATGGGTATATACCAATCCATTGATCTTTAGGTACCGTAGGGGTCCGCTGGGTTGACAGCCAGGACAGCCGACTGAGCTCCGAATCCTTGGTTTCCTTTCAACCCATGAAGTTCCTTGAGCTTCGAATGGGAACACGTGTCCGATGTAACACCTATGAATCTGTATGAATCATCCATTTTTTTTGATAGAATCTATATGAATCAGCGTTTTTTTTTGGATAATGTATGATTCATCCATTTTTTTGGGATAGAATCAGTATGAATCATCCATTTTTTTTGATAGAATTGAATCTGTATGAATCATGTTTTTTTTTTGGATAGAATCTGTATGAATCATCCATTTTTTTGGATACTGTATAAATCATTCTTTTTGTTTGGATAGAATCTGTATGATTCATCATTTTTTTGAATAAAAAAAGTATGAATCATCTTTTTTTTTGGGGGATAATGTATGAATCATCCATTTTTTTTGATAGAATCTGTATGAATCATCCGTTTTTTGGATAGTGTATGAATCATCCATATGTTGAAACTGTATGAATCATCCATTTTTTTGGATAGAATGATAGAATCCGTATGATTCATCCATTTTTTTGGATAGAATCTCTATGAATCATCGATTTTTTTGGATAGAATGATAGAATCTGAATCATCAACTTTTTTTGGATAGAATCAGTATGAATCATACATTTGTTGGGATAGAATCTGTATGAATCATCCATTTTTTGGGATAGAATCAGTATGAATCATCCGTTTTTTTGGATAGCGGATAGTGTATGAATCATCCATTTTTTTGGGCTAGAATATATATGAGTCATCCGTTTTTTTGGATAGTGTATGAATCATCCATTTTTTTGGATAGTGTATGAATCATCCATTGTTTTGGATAGAATCTGTATGAATCATCCATTTTTTTGGATAGGATCTGTATGAATCATCTTTTTTTTTTTGATAGTGTCTGAATCATCCAGTTTTTTGGATAGAATCTGTATGAATCATCTTTTTTTTTGATAGAATCTGTATGAATCATCAATTTTTTTGGATAGAATCTGTATGAATCATCCATTTTGTTGGATAGAATCTATATGAATCATCCATTTTTGGGATCCACCAGCTAGTTTTGACCCATGCCAGCCCAACTCATGAGTTGGTTTACGTTCACTTAAACTATATATCTACTATACAGCACAGTAAATCCAGCATTATATATAATATACCAACTTAGCTACTTACCTATCTTTCTTGCCGCACATTGCACAGACTTGCCAACTTACCTGGGAAACCACAGAATTCATGACTTTGAGGATGAGGTGCGGTGCAGAAAAACACAACCTTGACCTACAGATCCCACAGTATAACATAGCAAAACTATAGAACATAGGCTACAACTGGCTATTACTATACATGCATCTACCATAAACCCTAGTTTTTGGGTTTGTACCAGCAACTTAGCTAAGTAGGGGGGCCCCAAAAAACAGTACAGTAGTTGGACAAACGACATCATTTGTTCAGCTTTGCCTTACACTGACAGCCAGTGGCCCAGTAAACCCAATGTTTCTGGGCCCTCTTGGCTTCACTAGAATAATACTGTCAACCTTTGTTTGGCAGGTTAGTGGAGTATGTTTGCTTGCCACAAACGAGAACATAGTTTGACTATGTTTGACTAGTGTTTGTGCGAGAAAGGTAATTATATGATATTATATGTAATTATCTAATATTTGCCAAGAACATATCAATTGCATCCCCATTTGGCAGCTTAAATTCTCACTGTACTGGCTAACTCCCGATTCAACTGGTTAAGCTACATAAACCAACCAGTTATCAACTGGTTAATCTACATAAACCAACCATTTGTGTGGTGGTCAAACCAACAATTTTGAACCATGACAAATCCCGATTTTTGACGGCTACTGTAAATGATGTTAAATCCACATGTTCGATGATTAAATAAAGAATTGTTGATACTTAGATCGTTATTTTGATGGTCAAACGATCATTTTTGATGGTTGGCTCACCATGTTTGAGAAGTTCTTTGGACAAATCCTATTTTCTTTGAAGTTTCCCTCCGGTAACCAAACATGGCCCAAAGAAATGTTCATTAAAGCCTCAACGGGTCATTTCCCAGTGCCAAATGTTTGATTGCCGAAGGGTATATATCCGTTAATATCCCATTAATATCCCATTATTTTCTTAGTAATATCATTATCCCATTAAGATACCATGAATATCCCATTAATAATCAGTAACATACATTTTATATAGCAATATATGTTTTCCCATTGTTTGCGCATTGTTTTCCCATTCATACAATGTGAGGCCCCCCAGTTATAAGTTGGTTTATAAACCCCATTAACTATAGTTATATCTACCATAAACCATAGTTATTGGACTTACTAACCAACTTAGCTCACTATGGGGCACCACTTTGATTACAGTTTGACTTGCCAGCGTTGCCGGCCTGAGGTGCTGGCCTTGCTGTCGTCGCTCTGCGCCCGTCGCAACTTTGCCGCAGCCGTCGCGGTCGCTCAGCGCTGTCACGCCGCAGTCTTCGACGAGCGAACAACGGACACTGAGACGTTTAGGGTTTGGGAAATCATGGGATATATCTGCAATGTGAGGCCCCCAAGATAGCTAGGTTGGTTTATAACTCCAATAATTATGGTTTATGGTACTTATAACTATAGTTACTGGGGCTTATAAACCAACTTATAACTGGGGGGCCTCACATTGTGGGAATGTAATGGGAAATAGATGGTCAGCTAATCTGGGAATATTTTGGGAAATTCATCACAATAGATGGGATATTATTGGGATATCAGTTTCTGGGAAGAATGGGGAATTTCACAGGAATGCAATGGGAAGATCATGAGAGTGTAATGGGATGAAATGGGAATATTTTTGGCACCTTGGAATATCATGATATAGTGAGACTAGCATGGGAATATAGTGGGAATATATTGGGAATATGATGGCCGTAAGGGGGAGAATTGGGTGAGTAGCCTCCCCAAGGGATGCGTGATATGCAAACAAGCATGGGAAAATAAGAATATCATGGGAATAGCAAGGGACCAATAGGATAGGTATAAGATGGGAATACCAGATACCCTCTGGTAATTTAAAATAGCTATTGAAAATTGCCATTTATAGTCAGTTTTCCCATTAAACATGGTGATTTTCCATAGTTATGTTAGTTTACCAGTATTTGGAATGTATGGGATATCATAGGTATGCAAGTTGGGATATGATACGTATATCATGGGAAAGTAGCATAGGATATCATTGGGATATCTGGCTTTTCTATGAAAATTGGAGGAAGATACTGCAGGTCGGTAATATAAATATATGAATTCGATCTTTGATTTGGTGACACTTTTGAATGGCTCAACATCTAAAGATATGGAGGTGGGTTTTTCAACCTATGACATGCCAGATTTTGGGGCTGAACATTAGTGAACATCCATCCAGTTTCCTCTCTGATGATTATTCTGTTAGGATGCTAGCTGGGATGATTAAGGGCGAGCATGTTCTGTTTTTTTTGAACGTAGCTATGGAAAATCATCATGTTCAAAACGTTAGAACTAAATCGGCCCTTGTCCATATAGAAATCTGTTGAATTACCAGGTGTAAGTCCAATGAAGCAGAGGGTTGAGATACCTCCGTTAGATCACAATATGTGCGCATCAGCAGGAGGCTTAATAAAGCCATTTGTGTCCTGACATATATCCAACTTTTCAACATATAGAGCATTGATCACACCATTTTTTTGTTTCGTTCATTTCATCTTCAAATTCATCCATTCTTGGTGACCCTGTACCCAGGTACCCCAAATAGAGGAACAATCACTGAGGCTTGCTAAGAACTATTCTGAGCTTAATGGGATGATGATATTATGGCGTTTTATCTGTCACAACAATTGGATAATGTAGCATAATATCACCGTGTATTACATTATGCATATTCACGTTATGTTAAGTTATGCTACGTTAAAAACATTAGAATATATACATATTATAATTATGTTATATTATGTTACGTTATATTGTATTGTATATTACAATATTATACATTATATTATACTATCTATATTTATTGTATCATATATTAGATTATATATTTTATGTTACGTTGCAGAATGTATTATAGTTTATTTTATATCATGGATTCCATATCGTAGCATATGATGATTTCAGATCATACATGATATTTTACATTTTATAATATGTTCCATTGTATCATATAATTGTATGACAACATATGGTATTGTTTTTTCATTACATGATATGATATTATGTTTTAACATATGATATATTGTATTCGATTTACACTTTGGTATATATATATATACACATAATATGTACATATATTTGTTTAAACAAATGATATATTTAATGTAATACGTACTATGTAATATAATGTATAAGATATAATGAAGTGGAAAAACTTATTTAATAGATCATAGATAATATATGATATATAATATTTCAACATATAGTATATAAGTTTCAATATACGATATATATATTGTTCAATATATATGTTAATTTCATCTAATATAATATATTATATATTCAATATATAGTGACGGACACACACTTAGAACATAATTTGGAAAGCGATTCTCACACTTAGAACATCCCCGAATCTCGCACTTAGAACCTCCAGTTTGATACCGAATCACACGGTGCCCTGCAGAGGCCTCACACTTAGAACATCCTGTAGACATAATCATATATTTTGTATTGAAAACCAGATGTTAGCTCGAAGATTTGCCTGTTCTTCACAAACCATCAGTAGCTTGCAAAGACTCCACACTTAGAACATCAGGGGCAATGTTGCTCAGATGTTCTAAGTCTTATGTTCTAAGCGTGGGGCAAAATCCTTAAACAGGCGGTTCTAAGTGTGAGATCTGAAATGTTGGAATTTGTTCTAAGTGTATGTCCGGCGCTATATATATAATAACATACTGAATGGATAATATATTATATAATGAATAATATAATAAATGATGTAGTAAATATACAATATATTATACATTGTATAATACAATAATAATACATATTAATATATAATAATATATATATATATATTACTGTACACACTATTACATAATATCGACTACATAACATAGATAGAATATAGAATGGATTTAAAGTATAGGATGTAAAATATAGAATATTCTGTGGAATATGCCCAACAACAATGTGTATGTTCATGGTGAATTATTGGGAGCACCATCAATCTGGATAAGATGTAACGACCTCACTGCGAGATCCCGAAAAGACCTTCAGATCTTAGGGGTGATATTCAGGTTCCTTCAAATCTAATATGCGAATACTCCATATGTCTGGTTGAACGATATACATGTGTATCGCGCTTTCAAAACACACAGCCACCGTTGTGTAATGAAGAGCTCACGTGTCGGGGGTAACATCATGTCAAATGTGGCCTTTCGCAATGAGGAAATCCGATGATGGTGCGACAGGCACGCAGGTGGTAACTTGGAAACCTTTGGGGTCCCAAAGGTGATTTGAGTATTGGATATGGCCATTGATGTTTATTTTACTTGGTTTTCTTGAATGGTTTTCCTAAAACTGGAAGATGTTTGTTTATAGTCCAACAGTCCTAACAATGGTCTGTGTATTATTCAACTACGGCAATGGGGAGAGTTCTACCCAAGCTATGGAGGTTTACCAGGTCGAACCATCGTATGACAGTTGAAAGATGTGAACACCTTTTAACCCGTACATGGGAGATTGAACCGCTTGACTAGGAGGCTTTGATGTTTTGAGGCAATCCTGTTTCAGAGGAGACAAATCTTTGGATTGAAACAACAAAACCAACATGGGTCATATCGGGTTTTCATGGGTATTGACCAAAAAAATATTGACTTGGCTCAAATAGCGATGAATCTAAACCCTGAAAAATAAATGTATATAAATGGTGCCCTATTTCCCTGTTGTTCCGGTTGTTAAAACCACACAAAATGTCACTCAAGAAGGCAGATGCAGATCTTGGAGATGTTGGCAAGCAAAAAGTTTCATCAACAAGTTTTATTTGTGTGAGTATGTTAAACTGGGCGCCCCCAACCTACAGACTTTTGGTAAATTTCTAGGTACCATGTACTAACCAATCCACTACTGAGTATCCAGTTTTCACCCAGAATAGACACATAGGAATGCTGAAAAAACCTAAGGCTGCGACTGAAATGGGGTGTACCAGCAAAATCATACAGTGGTAAGGACAAGGATGACCATGCGGTATACCAGCAAAATCATCGGTAAGGACAAGGATCAAGAACTGGAATGGGGTACCCGGGGTACCCGTTTAAAATTTGCAGCACAGCCTCTGCCAGGGTCAGTTGTCAGGGATGATCGCAACAGATTGCGCCAAGGTGAAATTGACCACTGTGCTCAGTGATGAGTGACCTATTTTTTGCGAGGCCATGTCTTGGCGGGGGTCATTTTCCCACAGTGGGGCGGCGAACAGTTGGAGCCCTGGAAATGTTGAGATGAATGTCTATACCATCTTGCCGGTGATTACTAAGTTACTACATGATCAATATATCAAAGTTCGTGAGATAGAGATCTGATCAAGGCACGTCTTTTGTTGTGCGAGACAAACATACTCTTTTGGTGCCCAAGAATGCATAGATTTCCTGCAGCCTGGTTGGATGGTTGGAGGGATTCCAAATGATATAAAAATGTATATTATATATTATATATAGATATTCTAATATAATATATAATTTCCTGCAGTTGAGTGCAAATCATACCAGTTTTCTTTTACCGTTTGAAACCCAAACAAAACCATCAATCAACCATCATGTGTCAGTGATTTCCTTTATGCTCCCAATGTTTTCTTCCAGTCCCTTTGTCCAAATCATTCGCTGTTCATTTATCGCAAACCCAAAATAGATACTGGAGACATCTGTAGATGGAAATATCATCTAGCTACCATGCAACAGTGCTACATGTGCTATCTTTTTTGGGCAACCCCATCAAAAATACCGCGATTTTTAAAGGACCATAGAGTTGGTTGAGGGGATACAACTCAGTTACAAAAACCGGTTAACAGTTAACCAGCCCAGGCACATTGAAGTGCAACAACATGTTGCTGGGGAATCATGTGGCAGGTGGCGGTCGTCTTCTTTTTCAACTCTGCGCAGTGGCATGTCAAGCCTTTGGACCAGGCTTTACCACTCAGAAATTTCAAAAGGGTACACAGAACCTCAAGGGGCTGCGGACTTTGGAAGTAAAGCAAGCATCTGATTCTGCATATTCTGCACTTATGAGCCAACAGCTATTGGTTGGACTACTTCTGCAGCTACAGAAAGAACAGTGCTCAAGCCCAAAGAGGTCATGTGTTCCCCAACATTTTCGATGCCAAGTTGCTGATGGGTTCCCCAAAGCAGGGGCCTTCGGCAGCCTTGGCTCGTGTTGATTTCTGGCTATGTTGGGCTTATATTGAGTGTAGATTCAACCGTAAACGATGGAGAAAATCAGAAAAATGGCAGACCCGGACGTTAGAGGGATGGGGGGGGTTGTTGTTAATTGGGGGGAGGTTGTTAATTGTTAATGGTTGTTGTTGATTGGGGCGGTGGTCGTTCGAGCGATGGGGGGGTTGTTGTTAATTGGGGTGGGGGTTGTTGGGGGAGGGGTGGGTTGTTGTTAATTGGGCGGGGTGGGGTTGTTTTTAATCGGGGAGTGTTGTTACTTGGGGGGAGGGGTTGTTCTTAATTGGGGGGGAAGTTGTTCTTAATTGGGGGGTGTTCCCTTCGATGACTACATGCAGCCTGCCGCCCACGGCCGAAGACATCGCTCCTGCAACTCCTCCTCTCACTGAGCCTGTGCCTGACGTGGGGGAAGCTCAAACCTTCGATGCGCAAGTGCAGCCACCCGTGCCACCTCTGGCCGAAGAAATGGCTCCCGCCGCTTCGCTGCTGACGTGGAAGAAAGCTGAAAACATCCTGGCGTGCGGCGTTCTCCAGCGCCTGTTGTCCGCAGCTCAGTTACAACAGCGATTTGGTTTCCTGTGCGGGTCGATCTGCCTGTGTGTGTGTGCGAGAGGGTGTGGGTTGCAGCATGTCGCGGCCATGTCTTCTTGCCATGGGTTTTGCTTTCACGTTTCATGCATGTCACTTCCTCTTCCTTTTCTTTTTTCGTTTTCCTGCGCATTAGGCGCCATGTTTCTTGAAAACCACAGCTAGGTCCGGCCTGTCCCCTGCTGCCTCCTTCGTTCAAGATTTTCGCGACTTCTGCACAAGCCTGCGCAGCTCTATTACACGGTGATCCTTGCTTCGCCGCGTTTGCGAGCCTGGCTGCTCACAGGCCACTTCGGTTGGGACTTCATTGCGAACTTCGTCCTCGAATTCCACTTCGCCCTATACCGCAGCCACGCCGCGAGGCTGCAACAATGTTCAATGGTGGCGTTGCTGTGCTGGATGTGGGCTCGAATTGCAGGGCGATGTTAGCTCCTGGCCTTCATATGTTCCTACAGGAAAATGCAGACGGTATGTGGACACTTTGCATCAAGAATTCCATCTCGATTTCTCCCCCCTGGCCCCTCTGCGATTCATTGGGGTCGGCTTCGGTTATCGTGTGGGAGCCTGTACTCAGTCCCCGACTGGCAGCTGTGGTGCTTCTTTGAGGCGCTGGGCTTGACCTCGGGCGCCCTGTGCCATCTTCCTGGATTGCGCCCCTTCCTCTTGAAGCGCCAGATCTCCGGAGGGGAGTTATGCTGCATCGCGTCTCTCTTGCTGCCGCTCCTGCCCAACGGCTTTCTGCTGCTACATTCACAGGGGTCGTGCTTTCATTTCCACGGTAGCAACCCCGTGCAAAGCTACCTATCCCTATTTCTGCTGCTGCCTGCAAGGCATTCCATTCCATGCTTCTATGGATGCTTCAACCAGCACAATTTTATAATGTGATTATAATGTGGATATGTGGTAAACCCAATAAGACACCTACCATTCGGGCATGGTTTACACTACCCATTGACGGTCATATTATGTTTATAGCTTGGTTTAGTACATCACTAAGTTAGTATGGCCTCCTATAACTTGTAACACATCAACCATCTTTTATCACATACCGTCATACCGTAGATGCGACTATATCACTTGATTATCTCAGCATTTCCAGCATGTCTCGTAGAACTTGTCTGTCCTGGAAAGTTCCACGATTTCAGGACACCATGAAACATGTGGCCTGATCGCGGTCCCACCGAGCTGTGACACTTAGCAACGAGCGAAAATCAGAACTCGATTCGCGCGCACGACTGGATCATTGTGGTGGTGTTGATGCTTGATATCTACTAGGTGGCTCTAAGTGGGTTATATCAAGTTATATCCCAGTTTTAAGTGAATGAACCTTACTTGTCCCACTTACAACTGGGAGAGAACCCACGTACTAAGTGAGAATATTGATACATACCCAACAAACATGGGACCTGGAATATAATCAACACACATGGGATTTTTTTGGAGAGAGCATCAGCCAGTGGTTAGCAACCATTTATAAATATTGTACTCCATTATACTCCACTTTTGAACGATTAGGACTAAAGATACTCCAAGGGACTGGTTGGTTTTTTGGGCAGATTATTTGTGTTTTTCGGTGAGATGTTTTGGGTTATACCCTAGGGTAGACATACAAAAAGATGTGGAAAACCGCTGGTTTCCGTAGGAAAATGTACATAGATGGTGGTTTGTCATCATCAATATTAGTTTACCCTCAAGTATCATCAAATTATACAGCCAATTATTTATATATATATATATACATACATAGAGATCTTTGAATACATTATATATAACCGAGATATGATGGCTTATCAGAACCCACTTACTACGACTGCATCCCGTGCCTTCACCAAGGTACCATCTCCGTTGGTAACTATTGGTAACTATAAAGCGCTGTAAATAATGGGGTTATAATGGGATAAACCATCTACCAACTGGTGCAGGATTACTTTTTTTGTTTCCACAGTATGTTAGAATTTCCTCAGGTGATCCACAGAATCGAAGCAAGTAGGGCAGCTATGAACTTCAGTCCTACTGAATCCTACTGTTCACAGTGGACGCAAGAAGCATCTCATTATACTGTATGTAAGAACTTTGCCAACCTCTCATGCCAACAAAATGGATCAATCACAGCCGCGTGCGGAAGAATGATGGCCAAAGTTGGTGGTTCCCAGGGAACATCCCCCAGCCTTTCTGGCCAAAGAAGTGTCAAACATATGGCGCACTACACCATGAACCAGGTACCTCTGAGATTTGTCAACGCTTCGGAAGAGCCTGTGTAGCTGCAAAGTTACCCTCTGGAAATCCTGGCCACGAAGCGTGACTACCCATGGCAAAACCCCATTCAAACCATGGCAAAACCCACTAAAAACCACGCCGATTTCCCCAGATTTCCGCGATACCAGCAGGAGCTTGGGCCTTTTGGTAAGTCCCGATGACAATCCGCAGTGCCCAGGGCTGGAGATGCTGATGAGGCAACTGAACCATTAAAAATACCCCAGCCGACCTGGTTATTGGGGAATAACTGGTTGATTCGCGAATTTGTTGGGACTTACACTACCCAACAACTGAACCATCATTATTGGTTGATTGGTGAATCTATTGGGAGGTATACTACCTAGCCCATAGATTTATCGAGGAACATGATAATCCACATTAAGACAACCTATCAACCAATCAGTATTTTATTGAGATGGGATATATATTTTTATTGCTTAACTATGGTGATATGGATGAAATGGGTGTACCAGCTGGGATTTAACAAACAACAACGACATATTTATTAATTAGAAGGATTTATGATGATTTGTGAAAGGTTTTGGCTGGTGTATTTCACTAAGTTTTCAACATGCTTTATGATAGATGCAATGATGGTTAGAGTCTAGGTTAGACGGGTGAAGATAAAACCAATTTAAACATACAACCACCACTTGGGGGGCCACATTGCCCATATCTTCTCGTAATTAAAATCCTGGTTCGCTGGAAAATCCATCATTGATATCGATTGATAGAAACCCCCAAGAAGAAAAACGGGAAACTTTGCTCAACTATCCACAAACTACTGTTCTATCTTTTGGGTAGCTGTATATAAGTTTCGTTGGGCACATTGTAAAGGACCTCACAATAAGCCTCACCGCAAGCGAATATACATGATTCCCCCAGTAAAAAACGGAATGGGAAATCCAGACTGGACATCAACTATCTATGAAAGCGTGATTTTTCATGGCCAGGTTGTAACAGGGGTGCCAAATCCTGATAATATTGTACTGTTTCTTGTTAAACTATGTAATGCAAGATGAAACATAGCCAAGCGATATTATTGGGGATATGTAATATATATATATATCTATCCCCACGATATAGATAGATAGATACATATATATATATATCGTATATCCCCAATAATATCACTAGTTGATGAAAACACACATAGATTTGTCTGACCAGAGAGGCCATTTTTAGTCATAATTCATCTAATAAATCACCACTTCTTGGCTCCCTCCTGTATATATATATATAAGATATATATATAATATGTAGATGTATATATTATACATATATATATATATATATGAATATTATATTTATATATATGTATAGATAGATGATATGCTTATATGCTTATATATATATATAGATGAACAATATGATGTGATACATATATATATATGATCTGATGTGGAGTTTACCCACCATTTGGAGATCATTTTTTGAACAGGTTTCCCCATTGGTTTTCCGCATCTTTCTGTATGTTTCCCCTGATTATATCCTGATTATATTGCAATGATATTCCCATTATGAATAAATTATATCCCCAATCATATCACTATAAAATCAGAAATATACTGATACTCTTCGGGATATATATATATACATTACTATATCAACAACATATTATGGGTTATAATCCCATTATATCCCCATTATATCACCAATTTTTAATCCATATTTTTTCCCTCAGGTTTCGTCCATCTCCGTTAACGAAAGGTACCTGGTCATCGACGACGTGCGCGGTCCCAGTTTGGTCACCGAATGGAACTCTTCGATTCAGCACCACGAGGCCCGGTGGCGGTGGTGCGAAAACGAGGCATTCCCTAGAGATATGGTCCAGTGATGTGTGCTTTACAAACACCATGAATATCCATGAATACTATAGTCATAAATACCATACACCATACTTATTGAATACTATAGTCTGTAGTCTATAGTCATAATTACCATAAA